ATTGCCAATGGTAACTCATTCCATAAGTAAATCACCCTGTTAGAAATGAAAACTGTCTTAACAGGAGTCTTTTTTTCCAAATCTTAAACATGCATCTTCTTGTCCTCAGAATACAGCACAAATAAATCCCATGCCTTTATGATATTGATCCCCAGGACAATTTTTTAAATTACAATAAGATCAAATCTTTATTACCTTTTATAAATAGAAGATAATAGATTCTATCCTTATAAGATAACCCTTCCATCCTTAGAATCAACTTAAAAGCCCTCCTCTTGACCTTTTCCAGTATATCAATATTATTTAGACAAGGAGGTCAAAACTGTAGACAGTATTTCAAGTGAAGTCTCACTAGTGCTTTGTAAATAACAGTAGTTCTCGAACTACGAGGAAGCAGAAATGAGGCAAGGAAGACCAGTTTTGTTTTAAAGAAAGGTTGGTGATTAAAAAGAAAGTGTTGGAAAAATAACCAAACTAAAAAACATAAGAAAAATATTGTAAGTAACTTTTGTTTATTTTGCTAGGTGGCATCTCCTAGCAACCATGACTTATGCTGAGTACTTTTTCCCAAACAATTTCTTAAATCATAAACTATGGGGAAGTGAAATTGTTTTTTCTTCTCACCTTAAAGAAGCTTACTCACAATGACAAAACTTTAGAACTTCTGCTATAGAGTTATACTTCCTTGATGATTTGAGTTACTTATTTATCACAATGTAAAGATCTCTTTCTTCAGTGAACTGAGTGGGTTTCCATCTATATTAAATATGTGATCCAAATTATGATAACTCAAATGCATTCCTTTGCACTTGATATAACTCAAAGGTAATTTGCAGAATATTTGTCTACCTCACTAACTGATCCAAGTCATTCTATAGAACATCAACATCCTAAATACAGCAAGATATACCAAAGAGTTTAATTTCTTTCACAAACTTTACTATTTTACTAATTATGCCCCTCTCATTATTATTAATGTTAAAAAGCAACAGCAAATGCATATACACTGTCATCTGTAGCACTCCACTAGTAAACAAGTATTTGACTGTACTCAATTAACAACAACCGTTTGCTTTCCCTCAGCCAACCATTCTTCAATCCAGTTAACTAATCCTTCCCCATTCCTTATGGATGTGATTTTCTTAGATAATTTTTTTTGTAGCAAATTATACAAAAGCTTTTTAAAATGTAAGTACACCAAGAAAACCTTTCCATCATCTACATAACAATCAACATCCCTGAAAAATGTTAACAGATTTGTAAGGTAAAATTTCGTTTAGTGAATTAAATTAACATCAGTTATTTTTTATTATATCTCAAAAAATGATTTTACATAGCTTCTTTTATCAGAATTTATAGAATTTTTCCTCCTAAAGAAGTAAGAGTAACAAGCTTATAGTTTTCAGGACTACCCTTGTCATCCCTTTAAAAACAAGAGTAACATTAACAACTCTCCAATCCTTGGGCACTTCCTGCCCACTCTTTTCAGGACTACCCTTGTCATCCCTTTAAAAATAAGAGTAACATTAACACCTCTCCAATCCTTGGGCACTTCCTGCCCACTCTTTTCAGGACTACCC